TTTAGGGTTTAGGGTTTATGTAGGATTTAGGGTTTAGGGTTTAGGGTTTTGGCTTCTTCCTTTAGCCGAAATCTGTAAAGACGAAGACAGGGTTGTGCTGGAGGCTCTCCGAGAAGTGAATGCGGATGAGATCTTGGACGCCTTCGACATGAACATGAACGACTCGGAAGATGGTGATGTCAACTGCCAAGAGCGAGTATTTTTTGCGATGTTTTGATCTTTCTACCATAGCCCTTTTTCTTGTCATCCTTGTTGCGCCTCCCAGTTCGTGGTCGTTGTCGCTGCCGGTGGCTTTTGCTGTGGTAGTTGAGATTATGCTTGTCGCTCCTTGTGCCCTTGCTACTCGAATTCTTGTTGCTGCTGCTGCTGCTGCTTCTGCTGCTGCTGTGGCTGTGGCTGTGGGGCCGGGGCCGTGGCCGTGGCCGTTGTTGTTGCAGTCGTGGTCGTGGTCGTTGCCGTCGTCGCTGTCGTCGTCGTCATCGTCGTCGTGGTGCTGGCGGTGGTGGTTGCTGTTGTTGGTGTTGCTGCTGTGGTTGTGGTTGTGGTTGCTGTTGTTGCTGCTGCCGTTGTCGTGGTGGTTCCGGTTGTGGTGCTGGTGCTGCTGGTGGTGCTGGTGGTGCTGTTGGTGCTGATGGTGCTGATGGTACCGCTTGCCCTCGCCATCGACATAGATGTTGCTAGTGTTATACTTGCTGACTAGCAGTACGCGAGCGAGCACGAAACGACAGTTGTGGGACAGTCGCAGATCTCAGCTCAGGGCACACAGTCCATTGCGTCCCTCTTCAAAGATCCTGCTGTGGAGAAGCTGATGCAGACTCCCTGCAGAGATTGGGTTGGTGCCATACATCACAAGTTTGCTTGCAATCGTTCGCTGCATAAGACAACTCGCGACTTGAGCATGATACTACACCATGAGAGATCACCCTAAACCCTAAACCCTAAACGAGCAGTTTGCTGAGGAAGGGAAACACCGGGTATGTGCAGCCCGAGACGGAGTCTGAACGGCTTAGACGATATGCCGAAATGACCAGGTTTCAACGCCTGCAGGCGTGGCTGCAGTCCCATAAGCGACTTGCTGCGTTCAGTCCGGGTGCGTCGGTCTAGGGCCATGATGTGGGAGCTTCCGAAAATAGGGGGTACCTTGTTTTGGGGTCCTTATAATCAGGATCCTACTATTTAGGGTGCTATATTAGGGTCCCCTATTTTCGGAAACCCCCATGTGGCAGTTGTTGCGATGCTCCCGGTCTGAGGTATGAGATGGTGATTGCTGCTGTTCTCTGCGTGAATGTCCTGTGGATGGCCTTCGAATTGCAGCTTAGCGGTTCCGACACCGGCTATCACATAGGCGCTGCTTGGATGACTTACCCAATATGCTACACGCTCCTGGAGGCAGAGTTCGGCTACTGTAGACCTAAATTCACAAACCCGCATGTTACGTAATAATCTAAGTTTGGAAGTATGGGCCCCTAATATGGACCCTCAGGCCTTTCTAGGAGCCCATAGGGGTGTGTATATATATATATATACATCTATATATATATATATATATAGGGTATATAGTAGGTGTATAAGGATCCCAGGGTTCAGGGCCCCTCTCGCTCCCGGCTCTCCCTCCACAAAAGCCCTGGAGCCTGGAGCCTGGCCCTACTTTTGGCTCTCTTAAAAGGGACCTTATTGAGAGGGTCTATATCCCCAAGGGTCCCCCTAATCCTAGCTCCAGGTTGTTAGCTCTCCGCCAGTTCCTGTGGAGACTTGGGCAACTTGGACAGATGTTTTGGAGGTCGGCGACTTAATTTTCACGGCCTTCTTCGTGCTGGACGTCGCAGTCCGAATCCTTGTCTTGCAGAAGATCTTCTGGCAGGCCATGATACGCCAAAGTGGAGACTTTGTGCTGGTCAGTCATAGCCCGCAGCACGAAGTTACCTTGCAGGTTTGGATGAACTACGTCGACGTCGCCGTCAGCATCGCATCCCTCATTGAGGTGGTCTAGTTTGTCTCAACTTCTAGCTGTCTTCGGTACCCAAAAGTCATCGCACCAACTTTTTCTCCGTCGGAGGGGCTGTAATGTAGGGGCCTAAACAATTACCACTACTATTTTGGGGGGTCCTTATTATGAATATAGTATAATGGGACCCAAAACCCTATTCTAATTATTAAGGCCCCCATATTAGCAAGATGCCGCTGCTGAGACGCTGTGAGGTCACTGTCTACCATGCAACGACTCTGCCGGTGAACCCGATCCTTTTCCGATTGGTGCGGATTGGAAAGCTGGCCAGAGCTATTCGGATGGTTACCATGACCAGTATGTTGCAATCCCTGCAGCTGCTGGTTAAGCGCCTTATCGGTCACAACGAATGTCACACCACTTCTAGACCAAAACAACACTCAGCTACCAAGCTCCAGTAGACTCCTTTAGCCTCTCTTGGAAACAGCCCTGTTGCCAGCAGATGCTGAAGCAAGATTTTGCTTGCAGTGGACAGGGTTTAGGGTTTAGGGTTTAGGGTATTCCTCCGAGGTGCTTGGGCTCCAGCATGAACATGCTCTTCTGGAGCTTTTGCTTGCTGACCTTCGTGCAATGTGTGGCTGGACTGATTCTGAGTACACTCTGTCGGGACTTCCTCCTGGACGAAGCGGCCGACCTAGATATCCGAGAGGAGGCTACTGCGGCTGCTGGCTGAGGGTGTAGGAGGGTTTAGGGTTTATGGTTT